GGAGGAGGGAAGAGCCAGCTGTGTCTCATGCTACTTCTGTATCAGAAAAGACTAGAAGTGAGTGACCATGAGCTCTGCCAGATGACTGCTGCTCACCTTGGTCAGAGCATCAGCTTCCAGGGGGAGAGGCCCAAGGCTCCTCTGCTGTGGGAGTGCACAGGATGGGAGGAGAGGAATGGAGGTGGGCCACATCAAACCCTTGCAGAGTTCTTTACCAGGAACAGAAAAAATCTGTGATCCAGGCTCTTCAGTCAAAGGAGTGTTTTAAAGGTAGAAAGCTTCAGATTGGATATGGACGTCTGAGTGGGGCGAGGTTCTGTTGGTGACAAGGGATGGGACCCAGTGCCTCCATTAGAAACCTATGTGGCTCTTGCTGGATCTGTAGCTGGGAAGGTTTGACATGGACTTCCGCCAAAAGCCTGATGGTGAGGGGTAACGCTGGGGAGCCCCATGCATGTGAGTCATCTATCCGCAGTCTTTACTGGCCCGGTGACAACAGGGCTTCTGAGCACTGCCCTGTATTCCAGCTCCAAGCTGAGGTTACGCTATCCCTCTGAACCCAAGCCACTTGCACACAGCCAGCCTTCGAAGGCCCCTTCCTTTTTCATGTGAGTCCACTGAGCTGAGTTCCCAGCTTTCCCAGCAGAAAGAGAACTTGAATTAGGGTGGTATAGTTATCACCATAGAGCAACAATATAACTGTGTGTATGTATAGCTTTGCCTAACAGAAGAGGCCTTCTTTCTAAGACACCCAGGCAAATGCAAGGTACTTGGTATAAGCTGGCACATTCTTGTCAGCACTCCCAGAAGGATGCCCAGGAAGTGCAGGCTTTGTTCATGATGGAAACAACAGGGAGACCATGGGCTGGGAAGTCAGAATAGTACATAGGGACCAATGCATAGTGTAAGCAAAACACTTCCCTGTGCAAAGTGGAGGGATCCGAGAGGTTCATTAGAAGGGAGCTGGTTTAACTTTCAAAGGTGGGGTAGATTTGGCAATGGGCAGGGCCTAACAGGCAGCAGAAGGTGAAAGACAACAAGAAGAGGTCAGACAGTGGGACCAGGAATTGTAGGCTGAGGTTAAATTGGATTCTGCAGGTGAAGTAGCCACAGGAGCCTCTGGGACCTGTGTAACACAGGCAGAATCAGGTGTGAAGACACTCAGTGGTATAAACCTTGGGACTCTGGGAACAGGAGGCCAGAGAAGTGGCAGAAGGAGAGGAGGCCACACTGAGTCCTGACTACTTTGTGGCAATACCAGGATTTAGGAATGAATGGAAAGGGGAGGGGAAATATCCAAGATGATGCTAAGGGCTCAGGAAGGGCTGGGTGCATCATCGGAGGTCTGGCAGTAGAAAGGGATGCTATGGGGGCGGGGAGTGGAGGACTTGGTTGGCATAAGCCAAGTTTGAGGTACTCTGGGTCTCCCAGGAAAAGACAGCAGCAGGAGGCATGCAAAGCAAGGGTCTGTGGATAAGGAGCGAGGTCCTTGGAACAGTGTTATGGTTACACTCTAGATGTCTTCCCAAAGACTTATGTGATGTAAATGAGGCTTTGGGGAGGAGACTGATCACAGCAGTGTGGTGCTCATCCGTGGATTAGTTCATTGACCAGTTTATAGCTAACTGTGAGGTTGGGAGGTGGAGTCTGGTTGGGAAGAGGTGAGCCAGTGGGGGCATCGCCTGGAAGGGGTTGTCTCCTGTCCAGGGTTGGCCCTTTGTTCTCTGCCTCCTGCTCACCATGCCATGAACAGGTCTCCACTGCCATGAACCTCTGCCACGCTACCCTGCCTTGCAGCCAGCCAACTATGGAATGAAAGCTCTACATACTGTGATCCAAAGTAAACCTCTCCTCCTTTAACTTGTTGCTGTTGGGTATTGGATCCCAACCAGCGATGAGGAAAATAACTAAGATACATGGTGATGATGTTTGAAGCCAAGGGGATGAATGATGCCAGCAAGGAAGAGCACTCAGAGCAGAATAAACGAATCCCCGTCAGACAAAGGGGCTGTCATCACACCAAGACTGCTGGCCCGCCTGCCTCACCTGGTCAGTTGTCATAGCCTTCCAGGCCTGGCCCCACACCCCTGGGAAGCTCTCCGCCTTCTCCAGCTACTCCAACCTCAGACATCCATCTCTGTAGTGGCTCCTCAGCCCTGACTGTACCCACCTCATCACTAGGCCTCGTGCCATTATCTTGGGGGTTCCTCAACAAGGGCATGACAGCAGTTTGCCCCATTTAGGTCCTTGTATCTTCTGATTCAGAGCACTCATAGACACTAATTAAATAGATCTGTGATGGGTTGACTAATTTATCTCTTGCTAGAATGGAGGTCAAGGAAAAGAAGAAAGAGGTTGACTGGAGATAGGATGTGTGGTTGTGAAGATATGGGACACACACAGCATCTCCTCTTTTGTGTCTGGCTTACTGACTTATTATTGCTATCTGGGTCTCAACGTGGACACATCTGGAAAACACTGTTGAGTAAAACTAGCAAGGTGCAGATGGGTATTAAACAAACTAGAGTTGTCATCAGCACCATTAGGGAATGTTCAGGTTCTCCCAAGCACAGGTAGGACCGTACCTCTAGGTAGGACTTAGGTGAGGTCCTGTGACCCACTCCAGCTGGTGGACAGGAGAAGAAGCCCCCAGGCAGGAACTTTAGGAGCCAGCAAACAATGAACCATTCTTCCTTTCTTTCCTTCTAGGCCCACACTGGCTTGGACCCCTCAGTGGACCCAGTGAATTACCTCATTGAAGACCTTTCTCCAACATGTTCAGCAGTGAAAAATACATGTTCACTGTATTAAAAAAGAAAAAAAGAACTGAGTCTGAGGCAGATCCTAGTATGACCATAGATGGGTGGGCCTGAAGGATGTATTCAGTGTTTTGGGGTGGGAGATGCTTGGTTACTTGAGTGGATCAAGTGGGTGCATGGTTGGTTGAATGGATGGCCATATACACAGCTCCACCCATGAAACGTCTGCAGTGCCTTTAGTATGTGACAACGAAACACAAAACTAAGCTTGCCTTTCTCCCTGACATTTGCATATACTTCAGGGAAGGAAACCAGCCCCAAGAGAACCAAGAAGGAAGAGGAACCATCAGAACTGAGGGTGGGAGGCACAGCAGGGGTCTGAGTGGGACAGCTGCCTGGAGGACAGAGGTCCTAATGGGCAACACCATATAAACCGAAATCCAGTGTGACAAGCAAGAAGAGTGAGAATCCTAATTCCCACAGAAAATATAGCAGAGACAAGGGCACCAACATCTCTTTGCTGAGTTCCTGTGAATTTCCACAGGTTTCACGGGGTCCTCTGACCATCCCAAAGGTATTTCACTATCCCTTTCACAGATGAAGACATTGGGGGCAGGGAATGGGCCGAGGTTGAACAGAGACAGGTAGGAGCACTACTTGGGAACAGGAAGGACAGTCTTCAAAGGAGAGGGTGATTCTGAAATAGCAGATGGAACTAAGTGACAGCTGCAGGGGACATAAAGATGGGGACTACTGTCCAGGCTGCATGAAGAGAAGGGACTCAGGTGTGAAAGCAGAGTGTCCAGCAGGCTTCTGGGCGGGGGAGGCTCCTGCCAGCTGCCTGTTCAGAGGCTCAGCCTTCCCCAGTGACAGGGGCAGCAGCAGGAGGTCTCTGGGAACCAGGTTTCCAGGCTGGAGGTGCCTGTTCCTTCATGTAGTCATAGAATGCCCAAGAGGCCAGCTCCGGGTCACCAGCCAACACCATGCAGCCCCTCAGAGTACCAAAGACAGTCCCTGTTGCAAGAGGGAAGAGGGCACATTACTGAGACCAGTCGCACCAATCCTAGGATCCAGCCTCCATGGCTTTTGAGGACCCAGTGGCATGAGAATACAGAAACACACGAGGGCGCTCTAACCAAACAGCAGGAGTAGAAAACAGCCGTCCCCATTGGAGCGTTAGCATGCTGAAACACTTTCGGTTCTCCACGGAGCCACTCCTGGTACTTTGGACAGCATATTTCAGGGATATTTGCTGTCCCTGACTGTCCCCTTTGCTGATAACTGACCCCCACCCTCAGCCCCTCTGCTTAGTGCCACCAGATGATGCCAACTGGTGCCCTTGAGGAGTATAGCCGTCTCTGCTCTTCTCTCTCCCAACTTTGCAGAAGACTCTGACACTTGTAGGTGCCAGGGAACCAGAGAGACAGATCTCCCACGTGACAGCCCATGTTGGCTGAGTCTCATGGGGTTTATTGTCCTCAGGAGGCCAGTTTTCCTCTACATCATTATCCTTCAGGATTGTGTGGGACCAGGGGCCAACCTGATCATACCAGGGACACAGACACAGGACCCTGAGACAGACAGAGTGGCACCTGCCACAGACAACCACATCCTGGGAGCAAACACAGAACACAGCGGGCACAGAACACTCCCACAAAACATATGTGAAGGGAGGCACCCTTCTATGGCCTGGGGGTTCCCAAAGTGCTGAGTTCCAAGATGTGCAGATCGTGGGTTTCCAAAGACAAGCACCAAAGGCAAATACCCAGGAATGACGTTCAAAATACTCTGCAGCTGTGAGCCATGGGCCCAGCCAGTCAGCACAGGAAGCCATGCAAACAGTTGGTGTGTGCCACGAGCTCTCAGTCCTGCCGGCACCTCGGGGGCAGAGCCCGAACCTGGTGGAAGCTGGGCATGGCAAGAGACCACCTGGACAGGGCAGAGGTGATGTCTGGGGAACACACACCAAAGGAAGTGGTAGTGTAGACGTGGCTGGGTGGCTGAGGCACTGCAGTGCTGGAGGAAGACCAGAGCCCTCCAGGCCTTCAATAAACACCCAATATCACGCACCCCTACAAGTGGCCCCAGGTACTCTCAGAGGCAGCCTTCAAGTCCCAAGAGGGTGGTGCCCCAGCGCATGTGTGGGCCCAGCACTGCCATGAGACGCTCACAGCCTCTGCCCACAGGCACCATGGACTCTCATCCACAGGAAGTAGACTGGAAACCATGTGTGAGTCTTACCCTCCTTCGAAGATTTTGATCCTGGCCGGCTCCGTTCTCTTGGAGGTGGGCGTGTCCTCTTCTGGCTTCCCTTGCTTCTCTTCTTCCTTCTCTGCTCTAGCTACCTCTTTCTGGACTTCTGGGGAAACCAGTGACGTGAGGTGTACCTGGCCCACCGCAGGGATGACAAAATCATTGCTGGTTAAATTTGCATTTTCAGCCGGGAGGGTCCTAATGATGATTGCCTTCTCAGCCCTGCTCCCCAGATTCCTCCTCACTGAGAAAGTGCTATCAGCCGGATTTGACAGACCAAGGAAGAGAACCCAGAGAGGTGACATTTCCTCCATGCCAGGACTCTGACCCAATCTTTCAGGATCACCTTCCCTCAGGAGCTGGGGTTGGCCTTTGTCTTTTGCACTAGCCTGGGAATTCCCCAGCATAGGTCCTTATCTTGCTGTCCTTGGTCAGGTGGGTACTCAAAACAGAGTCGGCTTTAGAGAAGATGCTTAAAAATGGTGAACAAATAACCTCCATGTGGTGGCACAGACCTGTAACCTCAGCACTCTGAGAGGCTGAGGAAAGAGAACCACAAATTTGAGCCCAACCCGGGCAACTTACTGGTTTAGTGAGATGCTGGTAAAAAATAAAAAAAAAATTTAAAAGGCTAGGGATGCAGATCAGTGGAAAGACCTTAGGTTCAATTCCCAGCATCGAAAAAAAAAAAAAAAAGGTTGAACACATAAAGTCTTTTCTATGTCTTTGGAGATTAACCAGTCCAATTCTCACTGATAGATCAAAATGCCATGGTCACCTAGCAAGTTAAGGGCAGAGCTGAGAACAGAGCGCAGGTCATCTTTCTAGGACTTCAGTCCTCCCATGCTAGTATCAATGGCATGGAACACACAAGACCCTTCCACCTCCACCTTCAGCCAGGCCCAGAGAGGCTATTAAGGCTCTGGACTGCTCCTCTAAGGGCTCATGCTATTTATAGAGCTGTGAACCTCAAAGAGTCCTGGCCCTATGCAGAGGGCTGGCACTGGCTTTGTGCTTCCTGTTGTCTTCCACTATCCCAAGAGCATGACCTCTAACCCCTCCAGGGACAGCAGCAGGTGGGCACACCTGTGTAGGGAGCAGTGATACTATATGCTAGGGGCTGGGAACAGTGGGACTGAGGAAAAAGGCACCTGGCTGGGAACCAGGAGGTTTCAGTTCCAGTACCAGATAGGACATTGTATGCTTAGCTACCCTCGGGTAGATTATTTCACCTCTTCAGGCTTTGGAGTTCACAGTTGAGACTATTTTAGGGCTCATTCTCGGGCCGACCTCTGTGACCAAGTTACTTCCATGTAATTTCTTCAGAATGGGAGGTGGAAAATGAAAACCAAACAAGAATCTAGACTGCCGCTTTGGCAAAAGACAGTGAGTTCTTGCAAAGCCTCCTTCCATTTCCATTCCCATCCTGGCCTGCAATCTCGTCAGTCCATGGAGTGACAGGGCCTGTCACAGGCCAAAGGACAGCTTCTCTCTCACAACTTGCTATGATGTCTGGACCTTGCTGAGGAGGCTGGTTTGGCTGGCAATGTACCCTTCTACCAGGAAGCACAGTGTTGGAATGGACAAGGGGACCTGGGATCTGTTTTGTCTTTTAATGATAACAGTATGAATAAACAGAGCTAAAAATAATTAATTGAATTTCAGTGTGCCAAGCACTGTTCTGTGGACACTTCGCATATTTTAACTCATTTAATTGTCTGCATAATACTATGAATAAAGCATTACTACTATCCCTATTTTATAGATAAAGAAAGCAAGGCACAGAGAAGTTGAATAACTGACCCAATATAATACAACTAGTAGGGGTAGTGGGATTCCTATGTGGGCAACTTGGACCTGGATCCTTGTTCTGAATCTTTTTTGATAGTGCTATTGTTGTCAAAATGATCCCTAAGGAAAAGAGAAAGGAGAAACTGAAGGAAAAGAATGTGGCTATAAAGTGGACTCTTATACAAGCTTGGGTTTCTTTAGAGTTTATACACAGAAAAAAATACACAGTATCAAATTCAGACACAACAGGGTCACCTAAACCTGCATGAGATGGCTAGGAAAAGCTTCAAAATGCTAAGATAAACCAAAGGAAAGTTTCAGAACTGGCAGTGAATGGAAGCCACAGATGACAACTGTCAGCTCAGTGGAATAAAGAACTTCTTAAAGCATGATCCAAAGACAGATTGTGCTATACACACATGCATGCTATCCTGCCTCCATTGGAGATATACAAGCAGAGGCCACAGAAAGAGGTGCAATTGTACAAAGGCCTCAATTTGTAGACCATACAGTTACATTAACATATCAGTGTGGTGCACTTTAGGCAGTAAACGGGCCTTTGAACCAAACTGAATATTCTAAGAGCTCATTTCAGGAAGGCAGCATTATAAACAAATGTTGGCCCAATCTAATGAAGTCAAATTAACGCTTTATTTTTCTTAAATGCCCTGAAAATTTTCATTAGGGAATAGAGGAAGTCTAGATCATGGGAAAGGGCTCTGGAGTGAAATATAGTTTTGAATCCAGTATCTGCCATTGATTTTGGGCCTTGTGCAAGTTACAGAACATCTCTGTACTTTGGTTTCTTTATCTACAAAATGGTGACATTGCATCAGAACTTTCAAGATAGTTGTGAGGATGAAAGTAAGGTTTTGTATCACACCTGGCACACAGTAGGTGACCCAAATATTTTAAGTAGAAATATAATTACAATAACATTTTAGCAGTAGCCACAGGTAGGAAGAGACAAGGGAGAGCAAGCAAATCAGTATGATGTTTATTGTAAAAATGGAAATCTTTCAGAGATGGCTGTTGATTGACAAAGTCATCTAGGAAATAAATTTGGAAAACAGCTCATGAAGAATATCTGGCTGAGTTAAGGACAAATCCAAAGAACAATATTTACTCAGTGATGACAGAGGAAAGAGATATAGAAAGTTACAGATCACCGTCATGCTCACTGAGCTACAATATGAGTTTAATTTAGGGGCTTTATGCCTGATTTGGTCAAAGCATCTAGTTGGAAGGCATACATTTGCAATCATATTTTAAAGTTTTCTTTCTGCAAGTAATTAGAAGAAGAAAAATAGACTTTTTGGAGTCACATAGGTCTGGGTTCAAATTCCAGGTTTGCAAATGTTTGCGACTGCCCTTGACCTCTCTAAGCCCCTAGCCCTTAGTTACCCATCTACAGAATGCAGAATGTAATGCTGCCTCACAAGTGGAGGTGAGCATGGATTGGATTCATGGCCCAGCACACTGCTTGGCACAGGGAAGTTGTGAACAAACAATACCCATTGCTATTCCACAAATGCCAGGTCAGCACAAAACACCCTGGCCTAAGGCCTCAGGGTATAGTGGTGTCTTCTATCTAATATAAATCTAGAATAACTGACTTTCAAACTTACTGAACTTGCAAGGGACCAGTTCATTTAATAATTCCTGATAGCAGGAGTAAATATGAGCCCTTAGTGAGGGCCTAGCACTACTACAGAGCACAGATGGGTTCAACAGGGAGTGATATTGGCCCCTACAAGAGAAGGACATTGAAGCTTAACTCTATTTGCCATCCTACTTACAGAAAAGAAAGGAGGAGTATTTCTGGAGTGATTGTGTCAAATGCTAGAATATCTGGAAATGGGAAGATATTAAGTAGCACTAGAGAATGGAAACATTTAAATGGGGGATACAAAAAGCAGGAAAAGACTAATAAGACAAGCAAGAGCCATCTGATAAAGGATGAGTATAACGTTCTATAGTTACTATAGGCAGTCCCATCAACCAAGTTTTCCAACTCTGTCTTTTAGAGAATAATTTTTTTTCTTTGCTGAGATTGTACCTTTGATTTACACAGAAGCTCATGAGAAAGCAGGATCACTACATAGCTAAATTTATAGAGATGTACCTACTCCAATAATGTGAGGGGCACACTGATTAAAAAAAAAAACAAAACAACAATATAAACGTATTTCCCGGTAAGGCGACCAGTTGTAGCTGCAAGAGAGAAAATCTCCCTCCTCTCTTGGTTCTAGTTCTGCAGGTGGAACCTGAAGACAATGTGGCTTTAAAAGCTCAGCAAGAACTTTTGCTAACTGGTAGTAAGAAGACAAATAAGGCTGAACTTACCTCTGTCATGCGGGGCTTACGGGAGCTTGATGGCACAAGCCTTCCTGTCTCAGGATGTGGAGCTGTAGCCATGGTGTATGTCTCTTTGCTCACCTTCTGCTTAGACCTCAGGAGGGACAAAGCAGCTTTAGTGGAAACCCCTGGAAGGTTGGGGTTGTACAAACTTATGCACCAACCAGCGTAAACAGAGGACCTCCTATCTGCATGCTGGATGTGATTTGGCTTAATGTAGTTTAAATAGCACCAACTGACATTAGTGGTTGTGTGGAGGCTGGGGAACTGCAGTACCTTCTTTGAGTCCATACCTTCTTGGGACTTGGCTGATCTGGGGGACAGAGGCAGAGAGCTGGGAGGTGCCAGGGGAGGGAGGTCCAGTTGTTCCTTAGAATCTTCTTTCTTCACACTCAGTGGGGGCAGTCCTCTTCGGTGAGGTTTGCCAGGTGGCTGGGTATATTCCTTCAAAGCTTCTGAGCCTGGGGCTGTCCCATGGGGCAATGTGGGGTGAGGGAGAGAAAGAATCTCCTTTGGGTCAGTTGGATCTGAAGACAGGCTGGACAGTACTTCCAGGTCCTTCATGCCTTGGCCCTGGCTTCCCAGGTGCGATTTCTCTGTCCTCTTCCCATCCTCTGTGCTGGTCAGCACTACACTGCATGGTTTTACCAGCTCAAGTTTGTCATCTGCCTGGAAGGCCTCCTCCTCCTTTACCCTTTTTTGCTGCTGGGTTTCCATGGTAAGTTCAAGGCTGCCAGCTGGTGAAAGGACTCGCTTGCTTCCTCCTGCAGTCGATGAACTTGCCTCCAGGCTTGAGACACCCTCTGATGATAGGGACATACCTTTCCTTTCAGGCAATGTCACAGGCACTCTCAGGTATGGAGTCTGGAAGCCTCTGCTTTGCTCTTCGCTTAACCCAGATGGTCCAGGTCTAGCCTCATACATATCTGCCCCACACACAGTCAATCCCTTGGACGGGGGCTCCTCACCCTTGGGAAGAGGTGCACTGGCTGAACTGCCTTGGGACTGCGTAACCAAGATCTGAGAAAGAGTTGTGTACATTGCACTCCCATAGGATGGCATGTTGGTCTGAATGCGGACGGGCACAACCAGGGACTCTATGGTGTCCGGACAGGCAGGCAGGGCCAGTGAAGGGACTGATGTGGGTGCCAAGGAGCCGGCGGGAGGAGCTGTGGGGGACAGCCGCATATCACTGCTGTGCCCTGTGCTGCAGGAAGGGCCAGGAGATCCTGTTGCCAGTGGGGCCAGGCTGGTTTTGATTGGAGGCAGATGGCTTTCCACATCGCCAGGGAGCTGCAGTGCAAACTGGGATTGGAGAGGCAGGAAGAAGCCTGAAGAAAGTGCTGAGGAGGTAGGGTATGGCATGGGGAGAAAGGAAGGGGGCTGCTGGAAGGGGATGTTGGCAGGGTGAGGCAGCAGCTGAGGGAGATGAAGCTGGCCTGGGTGCAGAACAGTGGGTTGGAGAGGAAGTGGTGGGGCTTGGAATAAGGAGGGAGGGAGCGGGGGCATGGAGTATGGGGAGGAGAGGAGGCTGGGCATGGCCTGTGTGGAGAAGAATTCTGAGGACTGTCCTGGCTCATGCTGCAAGAGGTGCTGGAAAGAGAAGAGAGAAACTGGCGGGGGCAGGTATGGTTTGTCCTGTAGGGGCAGCTGGGCAACAGGGTGGTGGAGCACCTGCACGGCTTCTGAGTAGGGTGGAGTGGACCCCAGCGGGGGCCTATCTTGCACCTGGCTCTTGCCTCCTAGGTGCCCGCTGTACAAGGTGGCTGCTGAAGAGATCTGGGGCAACAAGATTTTGGTGGAAGGTATGCTGGATGAGGGCTGTGGTTCCTCGGTGTCCTGTCTTCCCTTGGGGGTGGTCTCTGGCTCATTTTCTGGAGGCCTGCTGAGAGAGGCTTGTCTCACCAAGAAGCATTTTCTTCTCTCTGGCAGGGCCACTGAGATTGGGGGAGCCACTGGGGCTGGGACAGAAGGGCCTGTCAAGGACAAGCTGCCATAGTCGAAGGATTTGCTGCGTGTCTCGGTCATGTGAGCAGAATGGGAAATGTTGGGGCTCTGCTCTGATGCTGACCTCCTCATCTCCCGAGTATGTGGGTGGTGGCTGGGGACAGTCAGCATGTGGGAGCCCAACGATTTGGGTCGCAAGTCTGGTAAGGGCCCAGTGGCCTCTGCTTTCGCCTGCTCATCCCTGTCGAATGAGGCTGAACGGCTGGACCCACTCAGAGAGACACTGCTTTCCTGGCTTGGGCTGCGAGACAGAGGCACAGATGACTCGAAGCTGGATTCCCCTGATGACTGGGCCATCTCTGCCAGGCGCAGCCTTTTCTTCTTGGGTGGCAGCTTCTCAGCAGGGAGTTGGGCGAGTGTCTGGCTACGCTGGGGCCACTGGAATTCTTCTGTCTTCTCGGGTTCCTTTGGGGGTGGCTCGGGCTCTGTGTCAGGCCGATCGGGCTCCTCAGTCACCAGGATCTCAGGGACCTGGATGTTAGGCTGGCGGACCAACTTGGGCTGCAGGGAGTGAGCTGAGCGTCCTTGCGGGGCAGGTGGCAGGGATGAAAAGTGGGCCAGGGACTTGTCTTCTCCTTCCAGGCCACTGGCCTGCTCGAGAGGGTCAGATTTCTCAAAGGAGCTGGTGTGCTGGATCACGGAAATTTCTTTGGACATTGTTCTCCTCTCCTTCCCTGATTCTGCCCCAGACCCTGGCTTAGGAGTCCTTGGCTGGAAGCCCATGTGACCCTCCAAAGAGGGCACTGATTTACCTGGTTCTGCTGGTGACTTGGTGGATTCTAGGGGAAGGTTCCGAGCAGAGTCAGATGGCCGAGGGCTGCCAAACTGACATTTTGTTGACTCAAAGGCAGGCAGCTCCTCCTCATCCCCAAGGCTCTTCTCTTTCCTTCTCTTCCTCAGTGGAGTGAGCTCCAAGGTGGCCCCCAGTTTATAATGCATCATCTGGGACCATGGTTCATGCTCTGCCTGGCTCTTATCAGCTTCAGGAGTTGCATGGGCACCTGCAGAGAGGGGCTTTGTAATCTGGAGCTCTGAGCAGTAGTACTTTTTATGTGCTTCATAATTATCCCTTTTCTTGTATCGAGCACCACAGATAGCACATTCATAGATCACTCCTTTCGTTTTCAATCCTTTCTTTGTCTTTTTGGTGAATTCGCTTTCCTTGGGCTCCGGGTCATCAGAGGGCTTGGCGGCTGTGTCTTTGCTACTTGGTCCAGGTTCCTCAGCACTGTACTCACCTCCCAAAGGCAGTTCGATGGCTGGCTGGCGCTTCAGCATCCGGGGGTGGGAGGTAAACACTGGACTGCTGCGGCTAGGGGCCTCAGAGTCAGGGATGTGGTCGTCAAAGGAGTAGCTACCGCGGAAGGTGTGGTGTGGGGTGCTGATGGTGCAGGCGGCAGAAGGCATTGAGTGGCTTCTCAGGAGAGGCACAGGGGGGTTGGTGCTGGGTGGGTGCTGGAGGCTGAGCAGTGATTGTTCTGGCTTTGTCTTCTCACCATGGGATGACAAGGGCTCCCGGTAGAGGCTGGATTTGGGGGACTCCATGCTGCTGCGCCTCGTCAGTGAGCTCCTCCTTGGCTTCACACTGTCAATCTCACTGGTGTCCACCACGGCCTCATTGATGGTGATGAGCTTTGTGATGTGCTCGATCACCTGTGTCCGGGGCACAGACAAAGGCACCAGGCTGGGCTTCTCTTCGGCGGTCAGAGGCAGGAGTGGCTGGGTGGAGGTGGCCGTCAGCATGGTGGTCCGCTGCCCGATCCGCCCACACTTGCCGAAGATGATCTCCGCGTAGGACTTAGCGTTGGTGTTTGGGGGGCTGACCTGCTGCTCGGCGCTCTCAGAGCGTGAGAAATACCCAGACTCGGTGCTGCCTTTGCTGCCTGGGCTCAGGAATGCCTGCTCATCGATCACCTTCTTTCGCTCACTCAAGCGGAGGGCCAGCTTCTGCTTAATTGTATGGGTGTCTTCAGGTTTATGGCTCAGGGGATGCTCAGATGAGGGTTCTGCAAATGGAGTGGCATCCTCAAGTGATGGCGCTGTGCTGGACTGGGACAGGGAACAGCGTTCGTGGCTGGAACCGTGGCTCCCCGAGCTGTATAAACCACTGGAAAGGAGGGGGTGCTTAGGTCTTGGGGAGAGCTCTGCAGCAGGACCAGATGTGGTGCTGGTTTCCTCCTCGGAGTCTGTGCTTTCTCCCTCCGTAGGCTCCTCAAACTCTTCCCCAGGGATCCTCTCCATTTCCAGCCCCGGTGGGTATATCTCACCACCCACTCCGGAGGCCAGGCCAGCTTTGATGCGGTGGGCATGGGACTTCCTGTGCTTGTAGAGGTTGCTCTTGGTCTTGAAGGAGAAGCCACAGGGGCCACAGGGGTAGGGCCTCTCGCCAGTGTGTGAGCGGATGTGCTTCTGCAGCACACTGGGCTTGGCGCAGGGCCGGCTGCAATACTGGCAGATGTATTTGCCTGGCTTCTGGGGTTTCCGTTCCTTCTTTTGTGCCTCTTCTGTAAGCTTCAGGGAGACCTGGGAGGAACGGGGCACAAAGACCTTAGGGATTCCCGGCAGGTCGTCCGGAGGAAGGATGGAGGTGTGAGAAGGAAGGAGCTGGCCTTGTGGGTGGAGGCCAGGGGCCACAAAGGAGGCCGAGGGTCCAGGTCTCATGGGGTCAACCAGCTGCCATGTGGACCCCTCCAGGAGATGCTCAGGTTTGCTGGGTGACATGAATGCTGGTGTCAGAGGGTGCTGTGGAAGCTGTGAGATGTGGATGGAGGCTTCGATAGGAGGCCTCTTGGGGGCCTTCTGCTGCTGGCCCGTTTTCTCCTGAGAGCCTTCCCTAAGAACTGATGAGGGGCCTGGGTAGGGCTGTGGGGCCAGGAGCTCCTGGGAGGTGCTCTCTTGGGTGGCAGCTGTGCCACTGCCTGGGTATGGAACGTTGGAAGAAACACTGGTCTGAATGGCCTCGCCTTTGGTCAGCCGCTTCCGGGGACTTCCCTCTGTCTTCTTGATGCCCTTGGTGCTTTGTTCAGGATCCATGACCTTCACAGAGACTTCAGATGCTACTCAGGGAGGTTTGGGGCAGGCTGCATTTAGGAATAATCCTCGTGTCCCAGGGAGTTGTCCAGCTTTGGCCACATTGGTCAAGAACTGTGGAAGCCAAGGCCAAGACGGCTTTGGAAGTTTTTGCAAGTGTCACTGGCTGCAAGTAGACTCAGAGCAGGTTATCAGAGCCTGAGCTATTCATAGTGGTGAGGCATGGTCCGCTACTCTGCAGACAGAAGGCACACCAGCATTTCCTGCTGGGATGTCTGCCGTGAAAATGTCATGGAGGATGTCAATATTGCCATTGTACTGTTTCGGTTGGCAGTGACAAGTGTTCCCCACGAGTCCCCTGTGTGCTATGCAAAAGGCTGAAAGTTGGAGGCCTCTGTGACCATGGCCCAGTCATCCCTGATCCTTGCCTAAGCAATGTTACACTGGATGCAGGAGCGGCTTGGTCCCGGCCTCTTCTTCCCTTTAGTCCTGTGTTGGAGATCAGTGGTCTTGGAGGAGAAATCACGCTCTTCTGTGGGGCAAAAGTGCACATGCAGAAATATACACAGAGAAGAGAGTTACTGTGACATGTCCAGAGCCCAGGCAATTCATACTTAATGTTAAAGCCTGCTGAGACCTCTAAAAGGTTACCCAGAGAAACTCAACCAGAACCCACTTTTCTTAGCTCCACATACTAGGTGCCACCCTCCTCTCCATCACGGCCTCTGCACCACAGGTCTGTGTGTTTCTGACACTTGGCTGTGTGGGGTGTTGGGGGTAGCAGGCAGGGCAGGCTCTGGGAACAGCAGGGCTGCAGATGGAGGCTTGGGTTCCCATCCCTGCTGTGTGGTCCATTCCAAGTGAGCACAAGCACTGCTAGCCTCTGCTGCCTAATCTAGAAACCGGATAACTACAATTGCTGCTGTAACTGCAATTTAGGGCTATGATGGGGTCCAACAAGAAAAAGATATGGATGCTGTTGGCTGGACTGGGGATGGTGCTGGGCTGATGCAGGAGGAAGCATGGTGCTCGTGGGTTTAGTCAGGGGGAGTTTTCCCAGGTGTAGTATTTCTCTCTGGCCCTGGATCTGAGTTCCATGGGGACCTCATTCATCACTTTTTACCCTGTTACAAACTCACCCCCCCACCCCACCCCTCAGCCTTTCTTCAAGACGAAGTTGTAAACTATGGCCACAGCCCACTCTAACACAGGCACAGCCAGCTGATTGATCCTAACCAGCTCCAGAAAGAGCACGTGGGAGGTTTGGGGCAGGCTGCATTTAGGAATAATCCTCATGTCCAGGATTCACAGCCCTTTTTTCCTTTGTTTAGCCAGTGCCCCAGGAGGCCCTGTGCCAATGGAGGACATAGGACAATGCTATTCTGAGTGGAGTCTCAAGTATGGTCACTCTCCCAGGGCCAGGTAAAAGTCAGAGACTCTAGGCTTCCTGGGCTCCATGCACATCCTCGGGGGGCTTTATACCAGGGTATGATCGGAATTTCAAAGCTGGAGGTCACTGTGACTCCATCTTTTCCAACCACCTCACTCTCCAAGTGAGAGCACTGAGGACAGAGAAGGACAGTGGCCAACTTGAGACCCCAGGTTTTAAAGAGGCAGTGCCAGCATCGGGCCCCCACAGCAGTTTTTGCCCCCATCAGCCCCTACTCCGACGTCTGTCTAATGGGCAAAGCCTGGGTGAGTGACCAGTGCTTCTGTTTCTTTCTCCTGTACACATGTCCTGCCTTGGCACCCTGGCCCCAGGCTTCCTTGGTGCCCTCACCTTGCTTTTCATCAGTTTGCGGACACAGACTTGACAGGTTTTCCTATTGCACTTTCACAGCACGTTCAGAAGACTGACGAGTCTGCAAGACTCAAATCACTGTCTCTCAAACGTAGGATATTGGACTCTGTGACATGCAGTGGAGGAGCAGATGATTCAATCTAGCTAAAATTATGTATGTTTACTCCTTCTGTGACTTCTTTTTTTGCTGTCTTGATTCTACAAAGAGTTAAATCTCTAACAAAACTATATTTATGGAAGATTGACAAACTATAAATATCAGAAAATTATAAATAAGAGTAACAAATCATAACAAAAAATGTAGGTAGGACAGGAAGATATAAAAACAACACTACTAATCAGCTTACAACATTCCTATAGTTCAGTCATACATTTATATGAGCTTCCTGATAGCCAAGAAGAAAAAGGAGATGTGATCCATTATAGTTATATAGCCAGAGAGGAATAAATTTCCTTGCAGGGGCATGAATAATGCAGGAAAGAATCTATGTCTTCAATAGCATCCCTTTAGCAAATGCACTGATTGATTTTTGTCAACAGAGACTACAACTCAGCAAAAGCTAGCCTTCAAGCAGTCAGATCCCTCCTTTGACTTAGGCAGAGGAAGCATCCTCCTGAAGCAGGCTGAGTATGGAGCAGGTAGGGAAATCTCATTTCATTATGTCACAGTCATTGGGGTAGCTGTATACAATATCAGCAAAATGGGACATTTCTGAGGTAAAATGGGACACTTCTGAGGTGAAATGGGCCTACTAATAATTATGGAAGAACCACGGAATCAACTTAGCCTGTTCCAGGCAGACCAGCACAGATGGTTACCTTGATTACCCTAGTTACCCGGTGATGGAAATCAGGCACAAAAACATTTGGTAGAAACTTTGGACCTTTGCTATGGGGACTGGAATTGCACCATGGTTTCTTGGTGGATTCCTAGAGCTGTCATCCAGCCCAGTGCCCTCACCTGCAGATGAGGAGACTAAGGGCTGGAAAGATGCTAGGATTTGCCCTCACAACCACACTGCAGTGGTGACATAGCAGGGCCACGCTGTACCTCTAGAGACCATAGCAGGTGGGCCTGGCTCACACATGTATTGGGGAGGTGCAGAGAGGCCTTTGGGTGCTGGGTGTGTGTAACAAAGGGTGACTGTACTTACTATTTATATTGACTTTCTCAGGAAAGTCTCTCAAAGCACCCCCAAACACTTGTAAGTGGTAAGTGGGGTTTCTTCTGATGGAGGGATGGACCCTGTGGCATGACTTGGTGGTGAGATGGTAGGAGTAGAGCCAGCTGGCCAAGGAAAAGCCCACGCTGTTTAGTCTCAAGGTTCTCCCTTTGCAGAGCCAAAAGTTCCCCAGTGAGGTAGGAAATGCCAAGGGGTTGGGGTCAGGGCAATTCCCAGGGCCAGGCAGAAGGGGTAGGGTGCAGGAGATGTGGGAACAGGAGGGAGATAGTCAGATGACAGTTGTGTCATCAGGTGACTCACTGGTCCCAATTTGCCTGCCCAGAGTCACTGTCCAGCTTACACCTCTGAGCTGGGCCTGGCGTCTCTCCAGAGAGGAGCCACAGGACCCATTAGCAGCGTCAGCCACCAAAGCATAGAGGCCTGTGAGCCCGAGGCCAGTCCTTTGTTCTGCTGATGGAGGGGATGGGGATGACCAACTAGGGCCACAGTGGCCCTCTGAGCTCTGGGCCAGTGATTTATGCCACCTGTTCTGCCATGGTATTGTGATGGCGGGAGGTGCTTGATACAAGGGAGGGGCCCCAGGAAGGGGGATCTGGTATTGTGGATATGGATGCTGAAGAACCAGTAGAACCTAAGACCTTAGCCTTGGGCACAATTCAGGTGCAGCAGGAATAGGTGTTGACTAATTTGAACTCCATCAGGAGGATATTAGTTAATATTAGTTGATGGGACCAAGCCACAAAGAACATGTCTCTTTCCTACTATCAAAGGGTTTGTGTGAAATTTTAATATAAGTCCAAAGTGACAGAAGAATCTCTCCAGGATTTCATGGAATTAGTGGGGCCAGCTATAAAAATCACCAGAGAAATGGAATCAGCTTCAAGGTTTCCCTCTCAGACCACAGGGACCTGAACTTCAGGTCAGAGAAAGGATAGATGTTCTCTGCTGATGGTTGTGGAATGGTCACAGAGACCCTACTGCCTGTCACGGAGGCCACAGCCCCCAGATAACTCTAGTTAGCAATCAGCTTACAACTTTGAGTTTCTCCACCCACTGGTTAATATAACAGTCTATTTAGCTTGCCTTTCTAGAAGCTTCCATAGGTCTGGTCACTGGGACAGCCTAACAGGGAAGAGAGTAGGCCTTGCTCGGGCTGGAGCCACAGAAGCCTTGTGGCAGTGGCAAATGATGGAGAAGCCAACAAGCTCAAGGTGAGGTGGCTTGAAGCCAAAGGCCTGAAGCACCTTCACATCCATGGGTTGGAGCACATGGCAAGTGGCCAGGGTGGACACCTTTTACCTGGGGAGGAGACGGGAGTTGGACCCTGTCAGGTGGGCAGTGCCACAAGACCTGACAGAAGACCAGCTGCAATGTGCCTCGGGCTCTGTCTGAAGCTGAGGACACCAGCCAAGGGAGCTGAGGCTGAGTCAAGGTGTGAACAAGAGCAAGACCAGCTGATGTGCCTCGGGCTCTGTCTGAAGCTGAGGACACCAGCCAAGGGAGCTGAGGCTGAGTCAATGTGTGAACAAGAGCTGTCAGGTACAACACATGCAAAGCGCAGAAGGCTGGAATGCAACCTCTGGTGCCCAGAGGCTCCAGGTGGGAGCCCTACACTATGCTGGTGGTTCTGGGCACTGAAAGGTGCTTCTCCACATTCCTTCCTGTGCCAGGCAGACCCTCTAGTGGAGGTGTGGTCACGACTAACCCTCAGGAAGTGGGGAGAAGTACAACTCTGACCCCATGGGGTGGTCAGGGGAACGATGCTGGACTGGACCAGGCTTCTGGGGCTACTGATCCCTCCCACCACTGGCATGGAATTACTCATAGAAAATAGACTCAACCTAGGCTCCCAGGGTCTGGGCTGGAAGGAAAAAGTCCTCTTTTAATATAGTAAGCCAAACAGCACTGCTTCCCTGAGAAGCCTGCATGTCTTGTGTAGGTTGAGCTTGGCCTGTATGTTAGGGAGTTCATCAGCATCTCCCTGGTGAACTTTTCCCCAGTAGACTGCAGGAACCAGAGCTTATTCATCTTTGCATTCCCAGTGCCTGATACAGAGCTCAGCACTAAGTAAAATATAAAAATATTTTTAAAACACTAAACTGAGAACCTACCATATGTCCACATTAACATATTGATTCTCACATATGCCCTTGTTTTATAAATGTGGGCCTAAAGCTTATTGCTTCAGATCAGACGGGATGATTTGAACCCAAGTGCAGGCCATGCATAGGAAACCCATTGAGCACTGCTCTTGGTCAGGGTGGCCCAGGTGGATTTGGTCTTCCTGTTACTCTCCCAGGTCCTCCAGGAACTCATCCTAGGTTAACCATGACCACCTACACTTGTACTCAACATGCTCCCCGTGTGTGATTTGTTACCCCATGGCATGGGGTCACATTAACTGCTGTTGTTAGGGTCTTGAATGTTATGCAAAGGCCCATATGTTAAGGGTTTGGTCCTTGCTTGGCATCTTTGGAAGGTAGTGGAAACTTGAGGAGGTGGGCACTAGTGGGAGGTCTTGATCTTTGGTTGTGCCCTTGAAGAGAA